GGAACCGACTCCACGGCACATCACCACCACCACCATTCACTTTAACCTTTGCATCTCAGTGTCTCCAGCTACATCTTTTCCTCTGCCAATATCCCTGTACTTTGCCTTCCCTGTCTACCCTCTAGCCTATAAATAATTTCCCCTTCCTTCTCACCCTGGTAACTATCATAGAATGTTTCTTTCATCAAGCAAACCTTTTCTTAAGTTTTTACAATAGTCTCATACAATCTTTGTCCCTTTGTGATTGACTCATTTCACTCAGCTATTATAATGCCCTTCAAGGTCATCAATGTTATGAGGTGTTTTGCAGATTCATTGTTACTCTTCAATGTTGAGTAGTATCCCATTGTGTGTGTGGACTAAAGTTGGTTTAACCATTCTTTGTGCTATTGTGAATAGTGCTGCGGTGAACATGGGGGTGTACATATCTATTCATGTCATGGCTCTTATTTCTTGAGGATATATACCAAGTAGAGTAATTGCTGGACCATATGCTATTTTTATTTCTAACATTTTGAGAAAGTGCCATATTGCTTTCCAGAGTGGTCACACCATTTTACAGTGCTTTCAGCAGCGTAGGAGGCTCTGTCTCTCCATATCCTAGCCCGTATGTTATTTTCTGATTTTTTGAACTTAAGTGCTGGAGTCTCATTTTTATTTTCTTTTGGTTTTGTAGGATAAACACTGCACTGCTAACAAGGCCAGCAGTTCAAACACACTAGCCACTCCTTGGAAACTGTATAGGGTCACTCTGGGTTGGAATCAACTCCAAAGCCCTTAACAACAGTTAATAGCTAATGATTACGATCATTTCTTCAGATGTTTGTTGGCCGCCTGAATGTCTTCTTGGATGAGGTGTCTGTTTATGTCCTCTGCCCATTTTAAAATTGGCTTGTCATCTTCTTGTTGAAGTGTTGAAGTGTTCTGTAAATTTTATAGTAATTCTGGGTCTGATATGTCATTGCCAATTTTTTTTCACAGTCTGTGGGCTCTCTTTTGATTCTTTTGGTGAAATTCTCTGATGCACATAGTGTTTAATTTTTAGGAGGTCCCAGTCGTTTATTTTGTCTTCTTTTTGTGTGATTTCAGTTATGATTGATGGTGTATTTATAGCATGAATCAGAGCCCCTGTAGGCTAAGCACGGGACCACAAAGTCAGTTTGAACCACAAGTTGGCGGATTCACTTACTAGCTGCTCCTTGGAAACCCTGTACAGGGTCGCCATGAGTCAGAACTGACTTCACGGCACTTAACAACGGAGTCCCTAAATTTGTCCTTAGTTTTCCCTTGATGATTTTTAGTTCTAGGAATTACATTTAGGTCGTTAATACATGTTGAGTTCATTTTTGTATGCGATGTGAGATATGGGTCTTACTTTATTCTTCTGCAAATGGACTTCCAGTTTTGCTGGCACCATTTGTTGAAGAGACTAACTTCTCCCCATCTGATGTGTTTTGGTTCTCTGTTGAAGATCAGCTTACATAGGTGGATGGGTTTACTTCTGAGTTCTCAATTCTGCCCATTGGATCTATGTATTTTGTTGTGTCAGTAGCAGACAATTTGATTACTGTGGTTGTGTACTAGCTTTTGACATTGGTAAGTGAGACTCCTTCTACTTTTTTTTTTTTTTTTTAATTAATGCTTTGCTTATATGGGGTCTCCTTCCTAGCCATATAAAGTTAGTGACTAGTTTGTCCATCTCTTTAAAGAATGATGTTGGAGCTGGGTTGGGATACCTTTATATCTGTAGATTGCTTTGAGTAGTGTTGACATTGTTACAATGTTAAGTCTCTCTATCCATGAGCATGGTATATTCCTCCATTTCTGCGGGTCTCTTTTGGTTTCTTGTAGTAGTGTTTTGTAGTTTTATGGTATAGGCCTTTTTGTTTCTCTGGTTAGATTTATTATGGCACTGTAGGATAATGTCCACCACACGTCTATCAGTTTGTTATACTGTCGTGGCTTGTGAGTTGCTGTGATTCTGGAAGCTATGCCACTGGTAGTTTAAATACACAGAGTCACTGTACCAAAAGGAAATGGTTGATGTTCAACCATTTCAAGAGGTAGTATATGAACAAGACCCAATGATACTGAAGGAAGAAGTCCAAGGTATGTTGAAAGAATTGGCAAAGAACAAGGCACCAGGAATCGATGGAATAAAAATAGAAATCTTTCAAAAAAGTGAGGCGGCACTAGAGGCACTTATTCATCTGTGCCAAGAAATTTGGAAGAAAACTATCTGGCCAACTAATTGGAAGAGATCCATATTTGTGACCATTCCAAAGAGAGGTGACCCAATGGAATGCAGAAATCATCAGACAATCTCTTTGATATCCCATGCAAGTAAAGTTTTACTAAAAGTAATACAGAAATGGCTACAAGCATAATTGGCAGAGAACTTCCAGAGGTTCAAGTTGGATTCAGAAGAGTCTGTGGAACGAGAGATATCATTGCTGTTATCTGATGGATCTTGGCTAAAAGCAGAGACTATCAGAAAGATGCTTACCTGTGCTTTATCGACTACACAAAGGCTTTCAATTGTGTGGGTCATGACAAGCTATGGACAACTTTGCAAAGTTTAAGTATTCCTGAAGACTTAATTGTGCTCATGAGGAATCTGTACCTGGACCAAGAGGTGCTTGTTTGAACAGAACATGGGAACACTGAATGGTTTAAAATTAAGAAAGGTGTGTGACAAGATTGTATTCCTTCACCATAGTTATTCAACCTGTATGCTGATCAAATAATCCAAGAGTCTGGGTTCTATTAAGAAAAACGTGGCATCAGGATTGGAGGAAGACTCATTAACAACCTGTGATATGTAGGTGATACAACCTTGCTTGCTGAAAGTGAAAAGGACTTGAAATATTTACTGATGAAGATCAAAGAGCACAGCCTTCGGTATGGATTGCATCTCAATGTAAAGAAAACAAAAATCCTCATCACTGGACCAATAAACAGTATTCTTATCAATGGAGAAAAGATTGAAGTTGTCAAGGACTTCATTCTTCTTGGATCAACTATAAACACTCACGGAAGCAGCAGTCAAGAGATCAAATGATGTATTGCATTAGGCAAATCTGCTGCACAAGACCTTTTTAAAGTGTTGAAGAGCAAAGATGTCAGCTTGAGGACTAAGATGCACCTGACCCAAGCCATGGTATTTTCAATAACCTCATATGCATGTGAAAGCTGGACAGTTAATAAGGAAGACTGTAGAAGAATTGATGCTTTTGAGTTATGGTGTTGGAGAACATTGAAAGTTGGCTGCCAAAAGAGCCAACAGATCTGTGTTGAAAGAAGTGTAGCCAGAGTGCTCCTTCGAGGCCAGGATGACCAAACTTCATCTCTCATACTTTGGACATATTGTCAGGAGGGAGCAGTCGCTGGAGAAGGATATCATGTTTGGTAGGGTGAAGGGTCAGAGAAAAAGAGGAGGACCCCCAGCAAGATGGATTGGCAAAATGGCAGCATCAATGGGCTCAAGCATGGCAACAATAGTGAGGTTGGCCCAGGATCACGCAGTGTTTCATTCTGCTGTGCATAAGGTCGCTATGAGTTGGTACTGACTCCATGGCACCTTACAATAACAAGAAGAATGCACTGGATTGCAAGGTTGGTTTGAAACATAAGGTCAGTGGTTCAATCTCATCAGCCCCTCCTTGGAAACCCTATATGAAACTGACTTGACAGCACTTAACGACAATTTAATCTTTTGGGTAGTGATTGTAAATGGTATTGTTTTCCTGATTTCCTTTTCTGATCTCTATTAATATAAAGGAATCCAGCTGATTTTTGTGTATTGATCTTGGACCCTACCACTTTGCTGAATCTCTGAATGCATTCCAATGATTTTCTTATGAGTTTTTGGGATTTTCTATGTATAGGACCATATCATCTGCAAATACAGAGTTTTACTTCTTCTTTGCCAATGTGGTGGTGGCGGTGTGCTGTGGAGTTGGTTCCAACTCAGCGACCCTGTGATGTGGATGCTTTTAATTTCCCTTTCTTGCCTTATAGCTCTGGATAAGACGTCCAGCACAATATTGAACAGGAACAGGAGTAGTGATGAAGGGTACCCTTGTCTGGTTCCTGTTTATAAGGGAATGCTTTCAGTTTCTCACCATTGAGAGTGATGCTGACTGTTGGTTTTGTATGTATGCCCTAATTACACTGATGAATTTAATTTCCCTTCTGTTCCTATGTTGTTGAGTGTTTTTTCTCAGGAATGGGTGTTGTACTTTTTTTTCTTTAATGTTTTATTGTGAATTATATGATAGTTTACATGGGAGAACATTAGCTTTATGTTCATCCTAGTGTTTATCGTTTCATTGCCATGGTTACATCCCCTCTATGCATCATCAACCAACTGCAAGCCTTCCCCCTGGTCATCAGCACACAGCCCCTCTCCCTCTCTGGGTCTAGAGTCCCCAACTGCTCCATCTCTCCATGTCATCATCTCTGCCTCCATCTCTGGCGTCACTGCTTCTCTGGGTAGGGTCCCTCACTCCGCTCTCCCTTGATAGTTCCAGGGACCTCCGCTCCTGGACTGCAAAGTCAACCACTCCCCTCCTTTTGCTACAAAACATCTACCTTTACATTTCCAACCCTCACAGTCAGTCCTGATGGGTGCTGTACTTTTAAACTTAACCCTCCTATATATTGTTAAGTGCCACAGAGTCGGTTCCAACCCCTAGCAACCCTGTATAGGGTTTGTGAGGAGCAGCTGGTAAGCTTGAATGAACCACTAATCATGTGGTTCTAAGTGACTTTGAAGTCCAGTGTATTAACTCACATATTAGCTTATTTAATTCCCCCAAGAACCCTAAGGAGCTAGGTACTACTATGATTCGGTCCATGCTACAGATGAGATTCAAGTTATGTTCAGGCTGCGCAGTTGGCAGGTGGTGACGCACGGATGTCACTGCCCCCCACATCCCCTGCACAGGGCAAATTCACACCCCTAGCCCCCAGCCCAGCTCAGTCCACTCTCCACTGCCAACCTCAGTGCCTCCTTCTCCCCACTGCAGAATCCTGCCATGGTGACCAACGCCACCAAGCTGCTCTGTCCTGTCCTGGAGCAGATGAGTCAGCTTCAAAGTCATAGCAATTCCAGCATGCGCTATATCGACTATGCGGCGGTGCTGCTACACGGCCTGGCCAGCTTGCTGGGCCTGGTGGAGAATGCGCTCATTCTCTTCGTGGTGGGCTACCGCATGCGCCAGACCGTGGTCACCACCTGGGTGTTGCACCTGGCGCTGTCCGACCTGCTGGCCACTGCCTCCCTACCCTTTTTCACCTACTTCTTGGCCGTGGGCCACTCGTGGGAGCTGGGCACCACCTTCTGCAAGGTGCACTCCTCCATCTTCTTTCTTAACATGTTCGCCAGTGGCTTCCTGCTCAGTGCCATCAGCCTGGATCGCTGCCTGCAGGTGGTCAGGCCTGTGTGGGCACAGAACCATCGCAACGTGGCGGCGGCCCACAAGGTCTGCCTGGGACTCTGGGTCCTGGCCGTGCTCAACACTGTGCCCTACTTTGTGTTCCGAGACACCATGCAGCGACGGGATGGGCGCGTCATGTGCTACTACAACGTGCTACTTTTGAACCCGGGGCTTGACCGCGATGCCACCTGCAACTCACGCCAGACAGCCCTTGCTGTCAGCAAGTTCTTGCTGGCCTTCCTGCTACCACTGACCATCATCGCCTCGAGCCACACAGCAGTCAGCTTGCAGTTGCGTCACCGCGGCCGCCGGCGCACCAGCCGCTTCGTGCGCTTGGTGGCAGCCGTGGTGGCGGCCTTCACATTCTGCTGGGGCCCCTACCACGTCTTCAGCCTGCTGGAGGCGCGCGCACAAGCCAACGAGGCGCTGAGGCCGCTGGTGTGGCGCGCACTGCCCTTCGTTACCAGCCTGGCCTTCGTTAACAGCGTGATCAACCCGCTGCTCTACGTGCTCACCTGCCCGGACGTGCTGCAGAAACTGCGGCGCTCGCTGCGCACCGTGCTCGAGAGCGTGCTACAGGATGACACGGAGCTAGGCGGCTCGGGAAGCAGTCGTCGCCGCCGCCGCCGCACCACTTCCACCACCAGCACGTCTGCTGACCAGCGCCCATCCAATGACCAGCCCGCGCGCCTTCTCGGCTGCCTATGGGGCGCACGCGGGGCACCACCACCCATGGATCGGGCGCGCTCCGAGGACGAGAGGGGCCCAATGAGTCCAGTGACCAGCATCTCTTCCTCCTAGGAGGGTGCCCCCATTCTCCTTTGAGCACAAACTGTTACACGGATGGCTGGCCTCCAGCCTCAGAGATCTGAATGGGTCATTGCAAGCCCTGGAACCTGCATTTTGAAGCACAGCAATGCTTCCAAATCTTTGATCCGCCAGCAAATTGGCCCAAATGCAAATACAGCTTCAAAAGATTGGGAGTGAGGGTGAGGGTGGAGAGATTCTGTGTTTCTAACAAGCTCTCCCAGGTGGTTGTTAGGTGCCATGGAGTCCTTACCAAGCCATAGCAATCTTATGCACAGAACACTGGCAGTTCCTGGGGTAACTTCACTACTGTTGCCACGCTTGAGTCCATCGATGATGTGGTTAAAATCCTCGGACAGTGGACCCTGGAGTCCCGTGTTACCTACCAGATGACTGTTGTTGTTGTTAAATGCTGTTGAGTCAGTTCCAAACCATAGCTACCCTGTAAAGGGTTTCTGAGGAGCAGCTGGTGAGCTTGAACTGCCGACCTTGCAGTTCAAATGGCTTTGTAGTCTGGCGCATTAACCCACAGCCCTACCCCAGGACTCTTGGGAGATGGTTATTTTTACAGCAAACCAGTGATGTATTCTTAGAGTAGAAAAGTCTGGGAAACACATTCCACTCTGTCTCTTCTGCTAATGTACATTGAGTCAGAGGCTTTATCTCACACTCCAGGTGAGGCAGGTACTTCTGGTCCCCATTTTTATAGAGGAACAAACAGAGCACAGGGAGAGGAACTGTTCCATGGCTGCTCACTATGGATTTGGCTAGTGCGAGAACAGTCTCGAACTGACTTCAGAGCACCCAGCGTTAGCCTAACCTGTTTACAGCAGAGGGGACCACGGTCAGGTGTTTGGGAAACACTGGTCTTATGGGCTGCTACAGAGTTTCATCTTCAGTACTCCAGTGAGCACTGTAGCCTGTGACTACAGAATGGCATCTCTGCGAGACCCTGACCACATTCCCTGAGACCACATAATGCGGCATTCTCTGCGAGACCCCGACTACATTCCCTGAGACCACATAATGTGGCATTCTCTGCGAGACCCCGACTACATTCCCTGAGACCACATAATGGCAGCATCTTTGCGAGACCCTGACCTCATTTCCTGAGCCCTGTGTAAGCCTGCCGCTCTGAGCGGTGCTGTCTGGGGAATGCTGGGAATCCTAATTTTGCAGCGCTCACCTCTTAACCACACAGGAGGCTGGGAAGGGAGGTTAGTATCCCCAGCTTGCACATGAGATGGCACCTGGTATTTCCCTCCAGCTTAGCACTCCTCACCATGGCCTGTCTGTCTACTCTGCACTTCTTTGATCCACTGTGGACTTGGGAGCAGACGTTGCTGGATTTCAGCTCTGCACCCCAAGGACAGGCAGAGGATGCCAAATATCTAGTGGGTGAGCAGTAGAGGAGGAGCTGGGGTGGGAAACACGCTTTATTTTGGGCTCTGGGTCTGGTGTCCCTTCTAAGCTGAGGTTGTGTGAACAGCTGGTTGAACACACATCCAGTCTTAGCACCTCACCCCCTGCCCCTACCGCCCATTACTTCCGATCACTCACACCTCCTGACCCCGTATTTCCTCATGTTTATTAGGTTGTCCTTTTTCAGAATGAAAGCTCCTTGAGGGCAGGGGGTTTGGGCTGTCCCCGGGATCTTTCAATAAATCCTTGTGCCATGGACTGCATGGACAGGAGTCCATCAGCTCTTTGGGGCTGCTGTGGACGCCGACACAGGCCCTCTGCAGTCTCTTCAACTTGCAGTGTGGAGACGCGGGGGTGGTGTGTTCAGCATGCTGATGACAGGCCCAGGGTGAGACAGAGGTACCCCCAAACAGCCTCTGGGGAGCTGGGGGAGGGGAGCTGCTGGACCTGGGACCCGCTGTCTCAGTCAATGCTGAAGAACTGTCCTTGGCTTCAAGGCCCTTGGAAGGGCCCCAGGAAAGCAGACAATGGAACCTCTCCCCCTCATCCGTCTACCAAGCCCCCTCTAGGCCCCTCTTCCTGTCCACAAGGCCCCAAAGGCTCAGGACTCCCTCTGGTGTAGGTCCCAGTTTGGGAGGCGGCAGAGGCATCTGGCTGGTGGGTTTGAAGGGGGGCTGCGTCTCACAGGGTGATGGGCTGCGGACGGGCTCAGATCTTCACCGCTGGCCTCTGGGGTGGCTGTTTCTGCAGTAGGGCCAGGGTGTCCCGCTTCTCAATGGCTCGGAGTTGCTTCTTCTTTGCCCGCTTGAGCTTGGTGGGATTTCGGATCTAGGGGTAGATTGAAGGGAGGGCCTAAGCGTGGAGAAGTGGAAACCACCCTCTGGAGCCTGGGAATGTGGCACAAGGAGGGAGGAGTATGACCCTCTTACCCAGCTCCAGCGGGGGAACGGGACACTCACCACTTGGACCACCTCTGCCTTCCGCTCATTCTCCAGGCGCCGTTTCAGGTTCTCAGCCCGCCGCTGCTGCTTCTCCTAGGCGGGACACATAGGGAGGGAGCATCAGTCCAGGGAAAGTGGGAGAGACCTGGGGGGGTTTGCTATGAAATGTAGGGATCCCCATCTGGACACCCACACGCACCCTGACCCAGGCCCTCACCTTCACACCCCCCCCTCTGAAGTTCCTACCCCTCGGAATGCAGGCCCAGGGCTGAGGGCTAAAGCTGGGGAGAAGAGGCTCTGGAGCTAACTGGCCCAAGTTCAAATTCTGACTTTCTACTTCCTACATGGGTGGCCTTGGTCAAATTGCTTGCCCCTCTGAACCTCTGTTTGATCATCTTTAGACCAAAGAGGGTGTCAACACCTACTTCCCAAGACTGGTGCGAGGAAAGGTCCATGGGAAATCCATAATCTTTAAAATACCATTTCCAGAAACACTCTGAAGCTCCTTGTGCACGTCCAGGGCTCTGGACAGTACTGGGCCCCCCAGGCACACTTGCTGTTAGGTACCATCGAGTCGGTACTGACTCATTAGTGACCTTGTGCACACCAAAACGAAACACTGCCTGGTCCTGGGCCAACCTCACTATTGTTGCCACACTTCAGCCCCTTGATGCTGCCACTTTGCCAATCCATCTTGCTGGGGATCTTCCTCTTTTTCTCTGACCCTCTACCCTACAAAACATATCCTTCTCCAGTGATTGGTCCCTCCTGACAATATGTCCAAAGCATGAGAGATGAAGTTTGGTCATCTTGGCCTCCAAGGAGCATGCTGGCTGCACTTCTTCCAACACAGATCTATTGGTTCTTTTGGCAGCCCATGACACTTTCAATATTCTCCTCCAACACCATAACTCAAATGCATCAATTCTTCCACATTCTTCCTTATTCACTGTCCAGCTTTCACATACATATGAGGTTATTGAAAACACCATGGCTTGGGTCAGGTGCACCTTAGTCCTCAAGCTGACATTTTTGCTCTTCAACACTTTAAAAAGGTCTTGTGCAGCAGATTTGCCTAATGCAATATGTTCTTTGATCTCTTGACTGCTGCTTCCATGAGTGTTGATAGTTGATCCAAGAATGAAGTCCTTGACAACTTCAATCTTTTCTCCGTTGATAAGAATGTTGTTTATTGGTCCAGTGGTGAGGATTTTTGTTTTCTTTACATTGACACTTAGCAGGAGGCTAATTTGGAGTGGTAGGCCCCAGAAGGGGACAGGGACAGGGTAGGGATGGCAGAGTCCAAGTTGCCACATGGTTGGGTCTCTCTTAGCTTTGGTAACTCGGGGCAGCAGAGGCAGCCTAGGCCCCTGCGAAGAAAGGAGAAGTGAGACCCAGGGCTTGGCAGGATACCTCTGAGGAGGTATGGTGAGAAGAAAGCTCCATGTTGCTCAAGGAGCAAAGCCACACAGGAAGTAAGATAAGACCTGAGAACAAGGTGATGGGCCACCCTGCATAGAAGGCATCAGCCACAGGCCTAACACGGGGAACAGAGAGGAGGTGTCTGACTCTTGGTCCAGTGTTCCTCTGACAGCCCTGGGATCACTAGCCGAGGTCTCAGCCCAATGACCAACACTGCCGCCACCGTGTCATGCTTCAGTGGTTGGTGTGTACATTTGAGTAATAGTGGTATTAACTGGGCTTCTCTGTAGGTGCATGGATATTATCCTATTACAGACAGCGTTGTACCTCATGACTGATCTGGATATGTTCTTTTTGATGATGAATGCAACACCATTCCTCTTCAATTTGTCATTCCGGCATAGTAAACCATGTGGTTGTCAGATTCAAAATGACCAATACCAGTCCATTTCAGCTCACAAGTGTCTAACATACTGATGTTTATGCGTTCCATTTCATTTTTGACAACTTCCAATTTTCCCAGATTCATACGTCATACATTCCATTATCCGATTTTCAATGCATGTTTATGCAGTTTCTCTTCATTTTGAGTTGTGCCCCATCAGCAAATGAAGGTCCTGTGGGCTTTTCTCTCTCGGTCTTTATTCGCCTCATTACAGTCAACTCTACATTGAGGAGGCAGCTCCACCCCAGTCGCATTTTCAGTCCTGTCACCAGCCTTCCAATTCGAGGGGCTCATTTTCCAGCACTGTATCTGACAGTGTTTCTCTGCTATTCATAAGGTTTTCAGTGACTAGCAATGCGGAAGTAGTTCGTCACTCTTTCTTCCTAGTCTGTCTTTGTCTGGAAGCTCATCTGAAACCTGTCCACCATGGGTGACCCTGCTGGTATTTAAAATATCAGTAGCATAGCTTTTAGAATCATAGCAACTCACAAGCCACCACAGTACAGCAAACTGACTAGACGAGTGGTGGCTGTTTGTTTTGAAGTGGAAACTGTCACTGTGAAATTGACTGTAGCCCTGGGAAAAGATTCCGGGAGAACCGAGTCGGTGCCAGGTGAGGGCTGATGGGGTTCTTGGAGAATGGCAGCACTGATACTGGGCCCGCGGTTTTCCCTCAAGTGGGTCCCAGAGAAGGGACCGAGTCCCACCTCTCTGTACGCTCCTGTCACCAGCAAGGACAGCCAGGGCTTTCCCTGGGCACCCCACTCTGGTGCCAGCACAGAGCATTGTAAGCCCCTGGTGGTCATGCCCCCACCCCAAACCCCTGCTCAGACTGTACTTCTGGTTGGGTCCATCTGTGACTGTGCCCACCCCCAATGGCTCTACAGAGCCAAGCCGACCCCTCATCCTCACCTGCCGGCGCCTCTCCTTCTCCTCTTTCAGGTGCTGGGCAAAGTCCTTGGTCAGCTTCCGCTCCTGCCGCTCCTTCATCTTCCGCTGCCAGGAGGTGCGCAGGGGTTTGTCCTGAACCATCTGTGAGAACCTGGGAGGGGAGAGCGGGCTGCTCGAAGGCTTTCTGCTTCTCTCTGACCGCCTGCTTACCTGGCACTCAGCACTGACCCTGCTGGCTACCGCTTCCCAGCTGTGTGTGTGAGTGCGTGAGGTGGGAACGCCAGCCCTCAACAGTTTTTATAGAGGTGCCCAAGGACTCCTGGTGTGGTGTGTAGGATCTGCACTGAACTTTGAACCACAAGGTTGGCAGTTTAAACCCACCAGCTGTACCCTGGAAACCCTACACAGGGTCACTATGAGTTGGTACCGACTCAACAGCACTTAACAACATAGGTTGGGCCTGGGTGGCAGTCCTGACTGAACCTGCCTGGGAGGCCAGACCCCATAGCTTCTCCCACAATGCTCTGCTGCTTCTGCACTGGAGTCCGCCCTGGGTGTGAATGCCTCTGGGATGGGCCCCTCACTCCGTCCTGAGGCAGTGGATCTGTTCCAGAACAGCATGAATGCTTAGCTCTCTACAAGGACGGAGGCTGCGCCCAGTCTGGGAGACGTGAGGATGAAGAGAGGCGGCTCAGCGGTATTGAAAGAATTCTGAGTTTCTCAGGAGTGACAGGGACATGTGGTCACAGAAGAGAATTTCTGTAACACACGTAGTACTGCAATAAAGACCTGCTGATAAGTACTGCTTGGGCCTCACCATCAGCATTTTATGGGTCAAATCACATGTGTACAATGTGAGATCAAATAGTCAAGGAAAAAGAAAGAAGAAAGGAACCCTGGGGGCTCAGGACCATGGCCTTGAGGGCACCACGATCAACTGGCATGAGACAGTCCACAAAGACAATGTCCTGCATCCCACTATGAGGAGTAATGACTGGGATCTGAAAAGCTCATCAACAACCATCTCAGGTGCAACTATTTGGTTTCTCCCTGCCTGGAGGAAAGAAGGCAAATGAAAATCAAAGGAGGAGGAATGGACAGAGGAACCCCAGGGAGGAAGGGGGCTAAGTGATGTTACACTGAGAGGGCTGCAATCGCTGACAGGAAACCAAGAGTATATGAACTGTCAAATGGAAAACCGATGATCTGTTCTATAAGCCTTTACTCAGTTCACAGTGAAAAGCTAAAAACAAAACTGTACACACACACACACACACACACACACACACACAGGGTTGACGAAGCTGTTGTCGGAGGCCAGGGAGTCTGTTCTAACTCATGGTGACAAATGTGTGCTCCGTAGGGTTTGGTTTCCATTGCTGTCACCTTTCAGAAGCAGATCACCAGGCCTTGCTCCCGGGTGCAGCTGGGTGGGTTAAAATTGCCAATTTTTCATTAGTAGCTGAGCGTTTAACCTTTTGTGCCACTCTGAGACTCCAATGGGCATATGGGGGTGGTGTTCATTAAACTGTTTTATCTCCTTTACTTTAAAAAACACCCATAATAAAACACAAACCAAATTTAAACACTGTCTTCTTCTGGGTGGCCTCCACCTATGGGTCTTTGTTCACTCCTCTAACTTGGACAATCCTTTTCTCCTGTTTTCAATACCCAAGTCTCTTCGGCAGATCCCCTCCTCCTCTGGGCCTGCCTACTCTTCCACCAATCTCTCAAGGCCTGAAGGAGCTCCTGTTTGCCCACACCCATTACTCCTCTTGGGGGCTGCTTTCTCCCTTTTGTGTTCTAAGCCTTGAAGTCTGGCTGGAGGCAGACACACACAGCCCCAGCCCTGATTCCAGGTCTGCCTGCCTGCCCTCTGACCCCAGCCACAGCTACCTTCCTTCTTCCCCACCGCTGTGACAGGTGCTGGGGCAGGTGCCACCTCCATCGTCCTGGAAACCTCAGCACCTTCATGTGCCTGGAAACCTCAGTGCCACCAGTCAGTGGCACCCTGGGTCTTTATCCACAAGCCTTCCTGCCTGCCTGCAGCTTCGAAAGGTGTTTTCACCATACCACTGGCCTCCTTTGGCTAGTCCCAGTGGTCTCATTTCAGGTCAGAGCATGTCACCCCTTTGCTCAACACCCTCCATGACCCCCATTCTCACTCAGGCCCACAAGGCTCTGTAGAGTCTGGCTCCTGTGACCTCTCTGATCTGACCATCTGCCGACCCCCTTCCACTACACTCAAGCCTTCTGGGCTGTCTGAACCACGCAGCCTGCTCCTGCCTCAGGGCCTCCCACCGTTCTGTTCCCCTTTGCTGATACTTTCCCCAGCGCCATGGCGTGGATCCCCCTCATCTCCCCAGGTCCCTATGCAAGTGCCTCTATCTGACCAGTGCAGCAGTACCCTGACCCTCCGTGTCAGTCTCGGATTTACTGATAACCCTCCGCACGAACTGACATATAAGGACTGGATTTTCCCACTAGAAAGTGGGCTCCAGAGAAGGAGGATTTTGCTGTTTACTACAGTTGTGCGTATCTGCAGAGTCTAGTGCAGCGCAATACAAATTGGATGAATGACTCGCAGGAGCAGAAAGCCTCATTTTTCTCCCCTGGAGCAGCTGGTAGGCTCAAATCGTGAACCTTGTGATTTGCAGTGCAGTGAAACTGTCCACAACAGTGACACACGCCTTTCCTGACTGTAAACCACTCGGTATCCCCTTGGCTCGCTTAGAATGACGGCCTCCTAGCCTATACATAGGGAAGTAGTCTGGCGTTCCCATTCTTGGTAATGTGATCCATCATTTGTTATGGTCCACACAGTTGAATGCCTTTGCATAGTGAATAAAACAGCGCTGTGGGTTAATGCGCCAGACTGTAGACTTGTTTGAACTGAAAGGTCGGGAGTTCAAGCTCACGAGCTGCCCTTCGTAAACCCTATACAGGGTCGCTATGGGTCAGAATCGACTTGAGGGCACTTAACAACAATAACAAACACTTTTCTGGTACTTTCTGCTTTCAACCAATAAAACACAGGTAAACATTTTTCTGGTATTCTCCATTTTCACCTGATACCAGCAATGATATCCTCGTTCGGTGTCCTCTTCCGAATCCAGGTTGACTTCCTACCAATTCCCTGTCAAGGTACTGCTGAATCATTTTTGAATTATCATCAGCAAAATTTTACTTGCGATTGATATTAATGATTTGTTGTTGTCGTTAAGTGCCCTTGAGTCGGATCCGACCAATAGTGACCCTATGCAGGGTTTCTGGGGAGCGACTGGTGAGTTTGAACCGCCGACCCTGCAGTTCAAACAGCTTTGCAGTCTGGCGTATTAGCCCACAACAACACACCAGGATATTAATGATACTGTTCAGTAATTTCTGCATTCTGTTAGATCACCTTTCTTTGGAATAGGCACAAATCGAGATGATTTTCTTCAAGATTACAGGCTTGGAAACGCTGTGGAGCACAGTTCTGCTCTGTCCCATGGAGTCCCATGACTCAGAATGGACACAAAGGCAGACGGTTTAATGTGGGGATGGTAGCTGTTCCCTGGGTGGTTGTGGGAATTAAAGGACGCACTGCAAGGAAGGTTGTCAGCCTGGGGCTGGACGGTAGGCACTTGGCAGGCGATGGCTAATAGGATTATTACGGGAAACTTGGTGGTACAGCAGTTAAAGTGCTAACCAAAAGGTCAGCAGTGGGAACCTCTTAGCTATTCTGTGGGAGAAAGATGTGGCAGTCTGCTTCCATAGAGATTGTTGTTATGTGCTGTGGAGTCGGTTCCGACTCATAGAGACTCTGTACAGGGTTTCCGAGGCTGTAGAGCTTTACAGGAACAGAACGCGTCATCTTTTTCCCATGGAACAGCTGGTAGTTTCGAACTGCTGACCGTGAGGTTCACAATCCGATTTGTAACCACTACACTACCAGATAAAAATGCCTGTTTCATAGGGGCTGGTGTGCATGATGATGCACGCTGTTCACTCTGTTTAAAGCCGTTATTCTGGCCAATCTCCTCCACAGTGTCTAGTGCCGGGGTGGGGATTCTCACCTCCCTTGAAGAAGATGTGGGTCAGTTCCTGGCCAGTGCACCTTGTGAGGAGCCACCACCATCAGTCAGCAGAGGCTCAGATCTGGTGCTGTGATGCTGACGAGCTTTCTGGGATGCTTCCTGATTCAAAAGGCCTGGCCATCTACTCTCAACAATCAGCCGTGAAAACCTTATAGGTCACATGATCCACCCCCAACTAATCAGCAGGAGACTGCAGTGTTTTGCCCCTGCTGTGCTTGGGGTTGCCATGAGTTGGGGGTCCACTCCACAGCAGCTAACAACAGGGTCGTGTATAATCAGTGTTCATTAGCAATCTTTATCATGAAGACTGTGACAAACAACCATGGGTGAAGACCTCACTGCTTTATAAAGTGCTGGCTGGCTTACCTGCTTGGGTCTTCCTCACCAGGGGGAATATCTGCTGAGCGAAGAGACAAATGAGGTTCTTATAGGAGAGGGGAGAGAGACCCTGAAGAGGAACAGCATTTTAGAAATAACCTCTAAGCCTCCAGAACATTTCACAAGATGGTATCCGGCACCATAAAGACCAGTTTGTGTGACACAATCGTTACTCTGCGCTCCCTCCAACCCTGGGTCTGTCTCCTCAACCCAGGCTGGCAGGAGGAAAAGGATCTTCCCAACACCTCCGAGGGCCCCACCTCACCTCTTCTTGGAGCGATCCTTCCACACCCGGCCGGACTTGGGCTTCCCCTTCGGGATCATCAGCACCTCTTCAGCCTCCTTCTTCAGCGCTTTGGAAGCTGGGGTCTGGGATGAAGAACCCTTCCGCTTCTTTGCCCTGACAACGCCTGGTACCACCGTCTCTTCAGCTGGGGTTGGCTTGCCCGGCTCCAGGTGACTCCGGGGGGAGCTGGGTGACTGGAGTTTCAGCTCCTGCAACGGCTGCGAGGGTTCCGGACCCGTCGCTTGCTGGCCGTGGGATGGCTCTGGTGATCCTGGGCCCGGCTGCAGGTGATGTTGGGGAGATCCCGGTGCCACTTCCTCCTTATTCTGGGTCCACTCCGAGCCGGCTCCAGCCTGGCTCGGGAAGGTCTTTGGTGCCTTCGTTCCAGGGTCTGGTTGACGCTGGGGGGACCCCGGGCCCGACTCCCTCTCATTCTTGGCTAACTCCAGGTCCTGTTCTCCCTGACCCTGGGAGAACTTCGGAGGCTCCTCACTTGGCTTTGGCTGGCATAGGGAGGAATCAGGGATCGACTCCGGCTGACTTCGGGGTGACTCCAGGCTTGGATTTTGCTGATGCTGGGAGGACCCTGGGTCCGACTCTGACTGTTTTCGGGGAGACCCCAGTACTACATCCTGCCGGAGACCGGGCGATCCAGGGCTTGCTTCCGCCTGACGCCCCGGGGATTCCAGGCCGAGTTGCCTGGGAGGACTTGGAGGGGAACCGGGCTCCTTCGTTACCTCTGGGTTCGACTTGAACTCCACAAGAGCCCGTCGCGCCCGCAAAACTGACGTGGGGCTCTCCGGGGGTTCAGGATTTAGGCCTTCCAGCCTCCGGCTGCGCCTTACCGGTGTACCCATTGCCCAAGCTGAAAGTTTCCAACTTTGAACCCACGTGTAGCTTCCGCCTGGTCTCGGACTACCGGCGCCCTCCGATGACGTCAGGAGCCCCTTCATCGTGAAGGACTGTGGTTGGGTCTTCCCGGTAGGGAGGGCTGGAGGGGCGGAACGCTAGTGTTTTCAGGCGCATGCGCAATGCATGCCGTGGCTTTTGTTTGCCGAGAGTCTTCCTGGGGCGTAGCGCTAGACTTTCCCACAGACGCTGTCACGTAACTAGACTCCCTGGGAAAGGAGAACGTGCAGGGGAACAAGAAGGGGAACTCATTTCAGGAGAAAAGAGGGTTTTGGAAAAAAGCCCGGGGAAGCCCATAGATGAGGCTGGCATGGACACTGCTGTGTGTGTGTGTGTGTGTGTGTGTGTGTGTGTGTGTATCCTACCCTCTTTGGGCCTCAGTTTCTTCTTTGTGACTTGCACCTAGAATGATCCTGTCGGATAACGCTGTAGGTAACAAAACATTTATCATTTCCACAGTCTTTTGGTGTACAGTTCATTGACATGAAATTTGTTCACACCGTTCAACCATCACAATTCCGAGGTTTTCCCGTCACTCTTAACAAGCTTTGTGCCGCCTTCTTACTGTCTTCCTTTATCCACTCATTCATCTTGTTCACTGTACCTTTGCCTCTTCTAGATCTTTCGTGTGGGACTTTGCCCATTTGTGACTGACAAACTTCACTCAGCGTGTTTTCAAGATTCATCCATGGTGTAGGAGATTTTAGAATTTATTTCTCTTTATGGTCAACGTTGGGGTGTTCTTAGCTCTCAGAGTGAATGCTGTGAGGTAGGGTGGGGGCTGGAGGTGGGAGATCTCTTAAGTCTTGGATTTTTCACACACTCTTGCCTTCCTGTTCAGGTACTGAGCTTCAATATACTATCTCTGGCCCTCTCTTTAGGACATTTTCAACTGTTATGAAGGAAGTTGAGTTACCTTTGTCCTGGGCTTTCATTGTTAAGTGCCATCCGGTCGCTTCCAACTCATAGACCCTGTATAGGGTTTCCAAGGAGCAGCTGGTGAGTTTGAACTGCTGACCTTGTGGTTAGCAGTCTAGTGCTGATCTACGGAGCCGTATAATAAATGGCTTTGCTCCTGTGTATGCACTCACCTTACCTGGGCCCTTCTGTGATGTTCACACCCGTTTTTCCACAATTAGTTGCACATGAACTCAGTTCACAAGTACTCTGGGGTCCTCAGCGGTGGCAAATGCTCCCTTCTGCAGCACCCTCCCCCCCCCCCACTCCAGCTGCCACATGAAGACTTTTCTCAGGAGTGACACCCCCAAGACAGGACTTTGATTTACTGTCAACACCCATTTTCTTAGGAAGAACATCTTGGAAGTGGACCAACTGCCTCTCCGTTTTTCCACAGGGATATTCTTGGAACAGCCTCAGGGCGGCCACCAAGAATTCTAGGATTTCTGTTCCACATCCCAGGGGTTCTTTTAGAACAATTATTTTTCCAGATGAGGGGTTGGAGAGGGCCTGGGAAGTTGTCTAGGGGACTCAGACGGAGGAGGAAGGCTGGGGAGACAGCCATGGGTGTTGAGAGGGAGTGGGACTGTCAGATGAGGCTCAGAGTGTGAGAGATAGAAGGAAGACCCCACGGAAGGCTCCTGGAGGATGCAAAGGGGGTTGCGAAGGCCTTAGTGCTTCTTACCCCTCAGCCGCCCTCACAAAAAACCAAATCCGCTGCCATCAACGTGATTTCAACTCATCACAACACAATCCATCTCCTGGGCGCCCTTGATCTCGCTGACCCTCTACTTTACCAACCGTGATGCCTTTGCTAGCGATTGGTCTTCCCTGATAACAGGTCCAAAGTAAGGGAGCTGAAGTCCCCCATCTTCGCTGCTAGGGAGCTACCTGGTGTGTTTCTTTGTTATAGGGGAGAAAAGAGACCTTATCTCTGAATATATCAATATTGTAGAGACTCTATTAAGTCTTATAAAGAAGTAAGCACAAAACAAAGTCGAGTGTAGATCACCTAGTTAGGGAAGTCACTGGAGATGCCTTGAGGAGTTTCCAAAGTTCCACCTTCCAGTGTTGACCTTTTATAGGGCACAGGGAGCAAAGGAATCTCCTCCCACAGCCCTGCCTGATGGAAGCAGCCATGCATCGCATATGTATGCTGGGAGAAGATGATCACAGATAGGAAAACTTAATCTCTGAGGTTTTAGGGCTATGACATCATAAGCATTGAGGAGCATGATCAGAGCTAGCTGGAGGAAGTGTCTCCAAGCCCACTTTTTTTTTTTTTTTAAGCAGGGGGAAAAATCACTTTATTTCTATCAAATTGGAAGGTAGGAATCAATCTTCAGGCAAGATAATCAAAAGAATCAATTATATAATTAACAAGATAGTATATACAGATTAGGCTACATTGAATTAATAAGCACATATATTAAAAAGGGCTGGCAACTGTTACACTAAGGAAAAGCATTCTGACTCGTCGTAAACACAGACTTCTGGGAAATTTGAGCTGAAATTTCACAGGACAGTAAACCAAAGACAAGTCATCACTGGGTTAGAGAACTGATCTGAGCTGAAGAGGGATCACAGTGAAATGCCATTGTTACTCAACCGTTTCCCAGAGACCTGCTCATTTTAAAAACAAGAATGTATAAAAATAAGTAGTACAAATTCTCATAAAACTAGAAAAGCCATCTAAGCCCTCCATTCTTGGAACTTAACTAAAGACTGAGTCTGACTTTTCATTTTTCTTTAGTCTTCTCTAAATTAAATACAAAATAAGTTTATCTTGTACATTTCTGACTCTCTAGTCAAAGCTTTAAGATGAAAAACAGAAAGGTTTTAAGAAACAGAGTTAGACACACACCAACTCCAGGGAGAATCTTCAGGCCAGAATTCTCCCAAAGGAAGGAATTTATATCCATTCCACTTAAGAGTGTTCATCCTTTTAAAAATATTTTACTATAACACACAAATACATACAATGATTTTCATCTAGGGGAATTCCCTGAAACACATGGATAATAGCATTTATTTTGGCAAGAACTGTGCAATTTGTTTAAAAAAAAAAAAACAGATAAAGAACAGCATTTATGAGCAATTTTAATGATGTTATATCTCAACAGATGCAGGAAGCAGATTTTTTTTCAAAGTTGATAGATGGCTTTACAGTTTCCTGACATCTGGGTCTTGTACATTTCTCATCTGGAAATCCGACTGGGCCAGTTATGTATAAAAGGATAAGAGCTTATGGCCAGATCACATTCCCATGTGACACTAAAGTGCATTACTGGGTTCTTTTTCAGAGATACCTAATAGACTAGGTTGTTACTGAGAACAGAGGGGAGGAGAATATAAAGAGAGAATAAGTATAGGCCACTACGTTATGAATTTCCTGTTTAACAAAATCAAATATAGAAAGAAAAGGACACTGTTATATGAAAGATAATAAACGAAGTCAAACAGATAGAAACAATGCCTCTCAAGAGCCTAGAATCCAGCAGTGTACAGAACAGACAACAGATGCTCTGGATATACAGTGTGTGATACTGCAATGCTCACTGGGTACCTTTCCTCTCTCAGCTGCAGAACAGCGAAAGCAAAGAGTCCAGGCAAAACACATTACGTTTAACCTCTAAGTGAGAATGGTGAAGCTCCAACCAGCAAAAGACACCAAAAAAGATCCTTTTGAGTATCCCGATTAATCCCAATTGATAAAGGAAAACATTTGTTTAAATCAACAGGATTATTTCCAAAAACAAGGATGCAGGATAACCCGCATAATATTTATTACAGAGATTTACTTAGATGTGACATAGTAATGCACTTAGCATTAAGTACCACACATAATAAGGACGCTTATACTCGAGACATTTGGAAATTTGTTACCTTTATGCTTTAAGCAAAGATCCCTATCTTTCAGAGGTTAATATCCTAAGTTAGCTCTAGCTTTTTAGTTGAATCATCAAACGCATGTTTCAGTGAACTAAATTTTATAAAAGCATAATATAAGGGTTTGTGCAGGCCATTTTTCTTTCTAAAATTGTCTTGTCTCAACATTTAAAATGGCGAGGAAAGTCTCTCTCCAGGAACCTTTCCTTCCACATGGATAGTCTCACCTTTCCCTTTCCTTACTAAAGAGGAGCCCCCTCTGAAAGAATCAGAAGCTGATTGGGGTCCAAGCCCATTTTTAAATAGATTGTTGTTAAGTGCTATGAGTTGGTTTGGACTCATAGCAACTCTGTATAGTGTTTCCAAGGAGAGGCTAATGAGTTTGAACAGCAGCTCAAACTGGCCTTTCAGTCAGTGCATTAACCCACAGCATCACACCAGGATTCCTTCTTAAATATACTCGAATAAACATTTAAATGGTACTCTGCTTCTAATCTGGCAGTTTGGCTGTCCGAGATGATTGAGGCACTCAAGAAAAATTGCCATCTGAGCACTTAACTCTAGGCACCAGATGGGCTTGAGCTCTACCTAGTTTGAGTTGTTCATATTTCACGTCGCAACAGCAGTGGAGGGAAACATCTGGCCCTTGGGTCAATTAAGGCCATCGAAATCATTTGATCTGAGCCTGCCAAGGAAACGGCAGCTCCAGACATCACATTGTTGTTGTTAAAATACAGTCGAGTCTGTTCTGATTCATAGGGATCTTGTATAGGGCTTCCTAGGAGTGGCTGGTTGAATTTGAATCTTTGACCTTGAGGTTCAAAGTGATCTTGATGTTGAGTGTTTATCCTAAGGCACCACAATTAGGGGTGAGTTAATTAAATATTTGACCAAACGTAGCAGGCTAATTTTTCAGTTGATAATCTTGTATGGTATGCAAATGATGATATAAATTTTGGCAGAAAAAAGTTTCTCCACCCCTGGTCTACAGTACCTTCTAAGATTGATTTGTTTGTTCTTCCGGCAGTCCACAGTATATTCAGTATTCTTTGCCAACATTACACTTCAAATGTATCAATTCTTCTTCAGTTTCCTTATTCAT